GTCTATTCTGATTCTTTCATCCCTGCCAAGGGTCAGAGTCTGTTATCCCAATTTCTGCATATGTGGTTCATAAGTAACTTTCAGATTTCATTCAACTCTTACTATCACTTCTACTTTAAGCAGTTTATCATTACTCTAACAAATACTTTCCAGTAGCTCCTAGTATTCATCCATAGCAAACTGCTATATGGCCATTGCTGATGAAGTGGATCTGTTGTGAAGCAAAGGAACAGAAGCAGCACACAAGAAAAGTCAGAAGGGAGAGGACTGGATTTTGAAAGCTAAGAGCCTTACCAGGTGAAGAGAGATTAAACTGGACTTTATAAGCAAAAAGAAATTCTACAAGGGCTCACAGATATGAAAGGGCCATGTATGTTTGGAGAACTATAAGAAGTGTGGGATTGCTGGAGTTGGAAGTGTGCAGTATGAATTTTACAGTTTAAAGCTCTCTTCCAGACAGTAAGAATGAAAATAAGAAAGTAATCTTTAAAGAACCTAAGAGACACCTGTAACCCCAAATCACTATATATGAAAATAGAAAACAGAAGCAGGAATGGTACACAACTTAGGGGAGTAGCAAAAGAAGGGATACAAGCAAACCAATTCATCCTGCACAACCCCAAAAAGGTCCAGGTGTGGAGATACTAAGTACCATAGAAAATGGGCTAGGGTAGAGGATTGCACATAGGGAAATTGTTTGAAATTCTGCAAAGGAAATAGTTGGACCTTCCCACCTCCACTCCACAAACTCAAAAAAATCATCCCTCTTTCACCCTGCTGAAGACAGGAAATTTATTTGATGGTGGGGAAAAAAACAAAACCAAACCAAACAAAACAACACCAAACCAGAAAAGCACCAACCCCAGGGGCATCACACACAGAGGGTGGTAAAGGACTGAAAATTGAACAATTACATTCTTGACCAGCCTCCTTTCCGCTGCCCAGATCAAGGTCACAAGAAACCAGACATATTACCTCCAACTCCCAGCCCCCACTGTGGATTAAAGGATCCTTCTCTGGAGATTAGAAATCCCATCTAACCAAACGATTGCCTTACAGTGAAGCCCACTAATTGACAAATGCTATCCACAAACAGGAAGCTTCCTTCCAGCTTTTTTAGAGCATTGCTTTCATTTTAAATTAATTTTATTGATGTATAATTTACATACAAAACTGTACACATTAAGTGTACAGTTCAATGCAATTTAACAAGAACCATGTAACCACTGCCCTAAAACAAAACCGGAACATTTACATCACCCTAAAAGTATCCCTGTGACCTTTCCCTATCAATTCTCCTAACCCACAATATCTGTCAAGCACTGATCTGATTCCTATCACTATAGATTAGTTTTGCCAGTTCCAGATATTCATATGAATATAATCATAAGCTATACACACTTTTCAGTCTGGCTTCTCTTACTTAGCACAACGGTTTTGAGATTCATCCACATTTCTGCATGCATCAGTTGCATAATTCTTTTTACTGCTTAGTAGGTATTCTTCTATATGAATATACCAAAATTTGTCTTATCCATGAGTTGATGGACAATTGAGTTGTTTCTAGTTTGGGCGACTATGAATTAAAGCTGCTATGAACATTCAAGTAAAAGTCTTTCTGTGGATATGTGTTCATTTCGTTTGGGTAATTAACAATTACTGAGTCATAATAAGTGTATATTTAACTTTATAAAAACCTGTAATACTGTTTTCCAAAGTGGTTCTACCATTTTACATGCTCATCAACACTTGAGAGCTCTAGTGGCTCTACATACTTTTGGATACTTGTCAGTTTCTTTAATTTCAGTTATTTTAGTGGGTGTGAAGTGGTATCCCACTGTGACTTTAATTTACATTTCCCTGATGACTAATGATGCTGAGCATCTTTTCACAGGCTTATTAGCAATTCATATGTATCTTTTGTGAAGTGTCTATTCAAATCTTTTGGGTTGTTTTTGATTATTGAGTTCTAAGAGTTCATTTATATATTTTAGATAACTGATATTTTCTCCTGGTCTGTAGCTTCTCCTTCCGTTTTCTTAGCAGGTTTTGAAGAGTAGTAGGAGGTTTTAATCCTACTAATTTTTATTAATCCAATTAATCAATTTTTCTTTTATAGTTAATACATTTGTATCCTGTCTTAAGATCTTTGCCTATGCCAAGATCATGAGGACTTCTCTTAAGGATTTTTTTGTTAGTTCTATAGTTCCAATTTTTATGTTTAGGTCTATGACCTATTTTGAATTTTTATGTATAGTATAAAGCTGTTTGGAGATCATCCAGGACCATGTGCTCAAAAGACTGTGTCCACTGAATTATGTTGGAACCTTTGTTGGAAAACAAATGACCATACATATGGGTTTATTTCTGGATTCTCTATTATTTTGTCTTTATATATACCATTACCATTCTTTCTTTATTATTATAAGTTTATAGTAAGTCTTAAAATAGTAATGTAAACTCTACAATTTTTTTCTTTTTCAGAATTGTTCTGGCTATTCTAGGTCCTTTGTCCTTCTTTATCAATACTGGAATCTGATTGCCAATTTTCACAAAGAAAACCTGCGGGGATTTTGATTGAAATTTCAGTGAATTTAAATCTCTATTTGGTGATAATGGAAATCTTAACAATGGTAAATCTCCAATCCATGCAATCCATGAACATAGTATATATCTCCATTTATTTAGATGCTCTTTTATTTCTCTCAGCAATGTTTGTAGGTCTTTCATTAAATTTATTCTCAAGCATTTTATGTTTTTTGATGCTAACCAAAAAACATAAATGGTATTGTTATTTTAGTTTCATTTTTCATTGTGTTTGTTGTTGGTATATAAAATACAGTGGATTTATGCATTTGTTCTTGTTGCTTGCCACTTGGCTAAATTCAGTTATTAAGTATAGTATTTTTCTGGTAAATTCCTTGGGATTTTCTATGTAGACAATCATGTTGTCTGAAAATAGAGATAGTTTTACTTTTTCCTTTCCAATATTTACTGCCTTACTGCCTGTTACACTGGTTAGGCTCTCCAGAACAATACTGAATAGAAGTGGTGAGTTTAAAAAAATCCTTGCCTTGTACTTGATCTTAAAGCAAAAATATTCACTCTTTCACCATAAAGTATAATGATAGCTGTAGGTTTTTTGGTAGATACCCTTTATCAGATTGAGAAAGTTCTTGTCTATTTCTAGTTTGTTGAGAGTTTTAAAAAATCTCATATGGTTGTAAAAAAAATCTCATATGGTTGTCAAATAACTTATTATGCATCGGATGATCACATTTTTACGCTTTATTTTGTTAGTGTGGTAGATTAAGGGTAAGAGAACTGAAATTCATATCAGGAAGGCAAGATGTAGTGTTTAAAATTTATGAACTCACAATATAATGCATTTATAAGTATGGAGATAAATAATGGAAAAAATAACTAAAAAAAATTGGTTGTCTCTGAGAAGGAGGCCTAGTTCGGAGTGGAGACTGATTAATTTTTTTAACAAATGTATTTTCAAATTCCCTTTTTATCTTTATTAAATTTATTGGGGTAACATTGGTTAGTAAAATTATATAGGTTTCAAGTGTATAGTTCTATAATATATCATCTATAAATTGCATTGTGTGTTCACCACCCAGAGTCAGTTCTCCATATATTTGACCTCCTTTACCCTTTTCTACCAGCCCCTCCTTACCTTCTGGAAATTTTTTAAAAAGACTTTTAAGCATTGACACTTTAAAAATGAGAATTAATATATAATATCGATAACAAATTTTAAAAAACTAAAAATGGGTTCTAGGGCGATGTGAAAATAAGGCTGGGGCTGGTTACTGTGTGCTAAGCCTTGGAGGCAATGGTGCAGGGGAGAGGAATGCAGCTTCAGGCATGGGTTGTTTCGGTGAAGCATCCCCTAGATATTCCTCACGCACATGGATATATATACGTGGCGGTGAAGAGAGAGTTGAAAATAATGGTTTGGGAGCAAGCACCAGACAAAGGTTTTAAAGCCATAAGAGGAATAAGACTGAACATGCATAGGATGAAAAAAGGGTCAAAGACAAAATTCTGAGGAAGGCTGGCATGTATGGGTCGAGGAGAAGGATGCCAGGAAGGAGGCAGAGAACTGATTTTCAAAGGACAGGAAGAAAACCAGCCAAATATGACACGGAAGTCAAGGGAGGAAAGTGTTTCATTCTTCCAACATGCTGAATTCCAAAGATTTTGTGTACCAACAAACATTCAAGCTATAGTTTTTCTTTTTATAGGTGTTTCTCCTTAATTTCATGGAGAAATTTGGGGAGTTAATAAAACCTTAACATAAATGTAATGATGGAAAATAGAGAATGGTGTTATACTATTTTTTATGTTGCTATTTGTGTGTTTTATTTCAGGACACATCTGGAACAGAAAGTATGAGGTAAAGAAGTTCCATGGGTTATCTCAACTGATGAAAGGCTTCAAGAAGAACATGATCAACATAAATTGTAGACACAAGAGAAAATTGGCTGAATGTCCATGTCACTTAGGTGGGGAATTTGAAGACTAGGAAGAGGAAAAACTGTAAAAAATGTCTAAAAGCTTTTTCTTTAACAGAGTAAACAAGGTGTGATGATTCAGAAGTAATGAGTCACTTTGAAATAATAAAACTATTAATTTGCCTGGAAAACACTGGCACTCTTTGGTGGATGACTCAGTATGGAAACTCATCCCGAGGGAACAATGTAGAGGAATACAAAAACATATACCATAGAACTACTTGTAGGAAAAAAAGTGACCTGGAATATTTTATTTGTTACATTCACTTCAAAAATAGTTCAGAAAATAAATTGGGAAATCTCTTAGAAGGAAAATTTTTTCTGATGCTCAAAGAAATTGTGTACGTGAATATGAAAGAACAATTAATGCTTTAAGTTTAGGGCTAATGTCTTAATGAGACTAAAAGTAAAATAAGAACATCTCTGTAGCAGGCCTGATTTGAGCATATGGGAATTAGGAAGCGCTTAAAAACTTACTTTTATTTTCACGCCAGTGGAGAAACAGGAAATGTGGCTACAGGGAAAAGTACCAGGTGGGCAGTCAGGAGCTCCTCGCCCCAGCTTCTGCTTCTGCGCTGACCAACTGAGTAAGCTGATCAAGTCACTTCCCTCACTGGGATTTCGCCTTCTCTTCTGGAAAAACAGGATGAAAGCTGGCTCTGGGGTCTAGGGAACATGAGAAACGCAAAATTTTTTTTCTTGACTTGATTAGAAAAAAGCTATATTTTACCAGAGAACTGTTTTCTATTACTTGATATGGGAAGCACAGTGAACTGGATATTAATTTTTAATGCATGTAATTTACAAAGCTACTGATTTCCCCAAGTTCTGGCTCTGAAAGGGGTAAACTTCTACCGTTTTATAATTTTAAAACTTTATACCTACTGTATATTCTAAAACATCAATAATAGTTGTCTGTTTGCTGGTAGTATTTTCAGCTACTTTAATTCACATATTTGCCTTTTCTAAGCCTTTTTCTTATTTTTGAGGAGATCATGTAAAACATCAAATCACATTCAATATATAAAAATCATTTGGACAGTTTAGAAGAACATATTATATACAACACAGTTTAATAAACATTGAAGTGCCACTCTAAGCTAGGTTCTCTCTTCAAGATGAGGGAAGTATGAATTCTATGATTTTGTCTCAAGTAGCTTACAGCGTGAGTTGGCAGAGATAGAGAGTACCTAAACTTTATATCAAGGAAGATATCCAGAGAGGAGGATAGCCAAGCCCAGTCCTGGAGAAGAGCAGAAGTAGTTGGCTGCAAAAAGAAAGGGTAAATGCCTTGTGGACAAAGGGAGCAAGGCACGAGATGGCACAGGATGTGTGAGGAGCCACCAGGAGTTTGGTATGATTCCAGTGTCAAGTTTGAAGGAAGGCTTCTAGGAGCTACAGCTCAGGGTGGTAGGGCAGAGGCAACAGCATCAGAGGGCCCCTGAGAGGGTTCAACGGGGGCAGGAGGGACAGGTCATATTTATACTGTAGGTGTACCACTGTATAGCACTGCAGAGGACAGAAAAACAAAGATCACACCTAGCGATAGTATCAATGTGAACATTTTTATAAATGTCCTTTTTTGGCTTTAAATATACACAGGCATGGGGAGTTTTGTGAATATTTATTTTTTTATTTTTAACCAAAGTGAGATTTTATTATAGTTTATTACCTTCTTTTTCCACTTTCCATGAGAATAAAATATATTAGATCTTATATACATCGTGTATACCAAGTTTACTTATTCAATTCTCTATTGAGGCACATTAAGTTGTTTGATAAGTAAGGTGCAGAAAGGGACAAGCAGCAAGCAAATGACAAAACTGACTTTAGCTGCGACAGCATTTTGAATGTTCTGAAGGTGGAAAAAGGTAAGACATGTGGAAGCTCATGAGATTTTAGCGTTCCAGACATAAGATGAATAATGTCTGAGTCTGGAATTCTTTGTGGATGAAGAGGAATTTCCAAAGGGGAAACAAAGAAAGGACTGCAACCCAACACACACTAAAAATGAAGTAATTTCAAATCTTCACATCTGCAAAACAGATAGGATGTCAAAGAACACACTCAGACAACTTAGAACAGTGGGTGGACTGCCAGGGAAAAACTAAGTGCCATTCTAGTGATAATCCACAACCACAACTTTCCAAGGAAATGACAGAGTTCCCCAAATTGTGCTCTCGCAGAAAGAACACTGAGCCTTTCTTGTGAGATGCTAGGTAGCCTTATTAAGACTTCATGTATCCTCCCTGGGCCTCTGTCCTTTGGGCGGGCTCTGTGAGTTACAAGCTGTGCTTGTCGGAGTTCCCTTGGAAGCTGCCAATACTAGGCATTTCCCACTGGAACCAGAATAGCTCTGTCTTTATCTGTTTTATATATTAGATCTCCAAAAAAATATTTTATTTGGAAAAAAAACACAAAAAACTGGGCTCCACAGCTACATAATATTCTTAAAACCACAGAATTTAAAAAAATATCATTCACCCTTCAGATTATTTGTTATTCACAAAGGTAAAAATGTAGACTTATCATGGAGGGATCTGAAAGTCACCACCTTAACATCTTAGTTAAATTTAGCATCACTAATGAGACAATCAGACAATGTGTATCTCTCAATATGATGCAATAGGAAGATCGAAGTATCTTTCATGGAGTTTTTTTGCCAAAAATATTTAGCTTTAATCAATCTTTTAGGAAACACAGGTGATAGAGAAATAAGTTAAACAATACCATGAGGAAACAGAAATTCATGATATGGATCATTCTATAAGACAATTATCTTGGTGTCCTCAATAAGGGTATCATGAGGGAAAAAGTACGTGCGTGGAGGTGGGTTGTGGGGGAAGGAGAATGGAAGAAATACCAACTATAAAGTCTCTGAGGTAGAAGCACGTTTTGCAAGAGTGAGAACGGCGGTGTGACTAGGCTTTGACTTTTACTGAATGGGAAGTTACTGAAGATTTTGAACAGAGAAATGACATGATTTGACCTACTTTTTAACAAGATTATTCTGGCTGCTGTGATGAGAACAGACTAAAGGAAACAAGAGTGAAAACAGGGAGACCAAAAAGGGGGCCAAATCTGCTTGGAATAATCAAGGCAAAAGATGATGTTGGCTTGGATCAGGCGGTAGCAGGGGAAGAGTGAGAAGTAGATTCTGAATATATTTTGAAACAAGAGCGAATGGGACAGGTGTGTGGTTTTATGGAAAAAAGGAAGGTCAAAGTCTAAGGGTTGTTTTTTTCACATTGTTTTTGGTTATTGTTGTTGTTTTTTTGCTTGAACAACTGGAAGAGAACTGATACTGAGACTGGGAAGACTTCAGGAAAGTTTGCTGGTGGGAGAGGAAGTGGTGGTGGCAAGGAAGGTCAGTAGTTCAGTTGTGAACATTACTTTTGAAATGCCGATTAGACATTCAGGTAAAGATATGAGGAATGCTGTTGGAGAACTGAGTCTAGACTTTAGGGGAGAGATTTGGGCTGATACAAATTCGAATCATATTTAAAGCCTTAAGACTACATGAGATCACCAAATGAGGCAAAGCAGAAAGAAAAGAGGAAGAAATATACAGAAATATTTATTCTATAATAAATCTTACTCTATAAGATTCTATAGAAAATGTATATTTCTATATAGGAATATAAAAAGAAACATCCAAAGGCTGAGGCCGGAGGCACTCAAACATGCAAAGCAGTGCTGTCCAATGGAACTTCCTGCGATGATGAAATATTTATAAATGTGTCATTCAATAGGTAGCCACTACCCATATGTGGCAATGGAGCACTTGCAATATGGCACTTGAAGCTGATTAACTGAATATTGAATTTAAACAGCTACATGTAGCTTGTGCAGATCTAGAGTTTGGGGAAGTGAAGAGGAAGCAGCAGGGGAGGCTGAAAAGAAGTGGCCAGAGAAAGGAATTGTGAAACAATTCTCCATGGGTCTTCCATGTTTCTTCACACACTTCAAGCAAGGCACTGACTGTCTTGATAGTCAGTGATATGAGCGTTGTAGACTATCTTTTCAAGAATGTTTGTATAGCAACAGCCTTGGAAGACTTGGTAGTGTCTCCCTCCACAGCAAAGGGTCACTGTCCAGTACAATAATGTTTCCCTCTAGAACAAAGACAAATCATGTTTATTGCCCATTATAAAAGATTTGGTTTCTCTAAAATAGGTTTCGTTTTTAATAACACAACTCACCATGTGTGCAGCTATAATCTGGCCCCCTTTACATTGCCTCAGAGGTAACTGGGGCTCAAAGAAGCAGTACAAAACTACTGCTACACTGGCTACTGCTACTGCTGTAAATAATAAACTGTCTTTTGTCTCCGATCCAGAAGTCTTGTGTCTTGTACCACCATTCCTGAAACTGTGGCAGGGTAACTTGTTAGCTTACAAAAAGAGTAAAACCTTAGATCCTTCATAGTTCTTGACAAGTAGCTCAGAAGCCAACTGAAGAAGCTGTTTCAAGGAGAAGGAAGTGATCAATTCTGCTCCTGAATATTGTCAAATAAGTACTGAAAAATGACAGATGTGGACATGGCTGGTAAATGATTAAGAGTGGTTTTAATGGAATTGTGGGGGCCGAAATCTGACTTGCTTGAGTACAAGAAAGAATGGGAAGAGAAACAGCAACAGACTATAGACAACTCTTCCAAGAAGTTTTGCTATGAAGTTTCAGTGAAGCAAAGCAATAGAGGGGAAGGCAGAGTCAAGGAGGATTATTTTTAAGATGGGATAAATAAAAGCATATTTTCATGTATAAAACAATGATTGAGGAGAGGGAAAAACCAATACAAGAGAATTATGACCACTTAAATGGGTCAGTTCTTTCACAGTAACAGGACAGAAAACACAGTACACGCAGGTAGTGGGTAGCTGTGGTGGTGAAAGCTCTTGTTTTCCTTTTTCAATTCAGAAATAAGTGGCAAGGTCACCAACTGAAGATGAAGAGTGGGGAGAAGATAGTGAACATGTGAGGAGACTGAAGACATACAATAGTCATCTGGGGGAGATGAAAGAGAATGGGGAAATCTATGATTGCAAGGCAACATTATGGGTCCATTTGAGGTTACGATCATTAATTTAAGGCAAGCTCAGCAGCATGGTTTTACACGTAGGGAACAGGCAAAGAGTTGTATTTAATCAGTGCTGTGGTTTAGCCAGGTAAGGTTAATGAAGTGAGAGAGGCAAAAAAATTGATGATGTATGCAAGGGAGACATGACTAATGATGGAATCTCAGCCTCTATCCCATCTTCTGAAGTTCTAACCTTTCCACTGAGCCCTGTGGGACTCATGGCTAGATATCAGCAAACGCCCCATATCCTGGACCTCTTCTCTGAAGCTTACCTACTTATTTAAATGGAGACTGGGTTCTTCCCCCCAAAATGCTGCTTTCCCTGTAGCCCTCTGAGATGGTGACTCTTTTTCCCTTCCATGCCCTTCAGACATGAGGCCTGATAAGCACCCTTCTTGTTCCTCACTGATACTCTCAGTCCATTCTCACTCTGCCCTCTCCAAAAATCCCCTGCTTTGAGTCACACACATTAGACTCCACACCATTAGACTCTACCATCCACTACCCTTCCTTATTGCAACATTTAAGTCTCCCCAAGGTCACTCCCTTTCATTCCTTGATGATTTTAGCTTCTGGCTCACTGTCA